GAAAGGCGTGGCTTGCTGATCATGCTAGCAACATGCTAGTAGCATGCTAATCATGCTAGCAACATGCTAGCGACATGCTAGTAACTTGCTAATCATGCTAGCACCATGTTAGTAGCATGCTAATCATGCTAGAAACATGCTAGCAACATGCTAGTAACTTGCTAATCATGCTAGAAACATGCTAACGGCATACTAGTTGCTTGCTAATAATGCTAGCAACATGCTAGTCATTTTTTAATCATGCTAGCAACACGGTAGTAGCATGCTAATCGTGCTAGAAACATGCTAGCAACATGTTAGTAACTTGCTAATTAACCATGCTAGCAGCATGCTAGTTGCTTGATAGTCATGTTAACAACATGATAGCAACATGCTAGTCACTTGCTAATCATGCTAACGACATGCTAGTCACTTGCTAATCATGCTAACGACATGCTAGTCACTTGCTAATCATGCTAACGACATGCTAGTCACTTGCTAATCATGCTAACGACATGCTAGTCACTTGCTAATCATGCTAACGACATGCTAGTCACTTGCTAATCATGCTAACGACATGCTAGTCACTTGCTAATCATGCTAACGACATGCTAGTCACTTGCTAATCATGCTAACGACATGCTAGTCACTTGCTAATCATGCTAACGACATGCTAGTCACTTGCTAATCATGCTAACGACATGCTAGTCACTTGCTAATCATGCTAACGACATGCTAGTCACTTGCTAATCATGCTAACGACATGCTAGTCACTTGCTAATCATGCTAACGACATGCTAGTCACTTGCTAATCATGCTAACGACATGCTAGTCACTTGCTAATCATGCTAACGACATGCTAGTCACTTGCTAATCATGCTAACGACATGCTAGTCACTTGCTAATCATGCTAACGACATGCTAGTCACTTGCTAATCATGCTAACGACATGCTAGTCACTTGCTAATCATGCTAACGACATGCTAGTCACTTGCTAATCATGCTAACGACATGCTAGTCACTTGCTAATCATGCTAACGACATGCTAGTCACTTGCTAATCATGCTAACGACATGCTAGTCACTTGCTAATCATGCTAACGACATGCTAGTCACTTGCTAATCATGCTAACGACATGCTAGTCACTTGCTAATCATGCTAACGACATGCTAGTCACTTGCTAATCATGCTAACGACATGCTAGTCACTTGCTAATCATGCTAACGACATGCTAGTCACTTGCTAATCATGCTAACGACATGCTAGTCACTTGCTAATCATGCTAACGACATGCTAGTCACTTGCTAATCATGCTAACGACATGCTAGTCACTTGCTAATCATGCTAACGACATGCTAGTCACTTGCTAATCATGCTAACGACATGCTAGTCACTTGCTAATCATGCTAACGACATGCTAGTCACTTGCTAATCATGCTAACGACATGCTAGTCACTTGCTAATCATGCTAACGACATGCTAGTCACTTGCTAATCATGCTAACGACATGCTAGTCACTTGCTAATCATGCTAACGACATGCTAGTCACTTGCTAATCATGCTAACGACATGCTAGTCACTTGCTAATCATGCTAACGACATGCTAGTCACTTGCTAATCATGCTAACGACATGCTAGTCACTTGCTAATCATGCTAACGACATGCTAGTCACTTGCTAATCATGCTAACGACATGCTAGTCACTTGCTAATCATGCTAACGACATGCTAGTCACTTGCTAATCATGCTAACGACATGCTAGTCACTTGCTAATCATGCTAACGACATGCTAGTCACTTGCTAATCATGCTAACGACATGCTAGTCACTTGCTAATCATGCTAACGACATGCTAGTCACTTGCTAATCATGCTAACGACATGCTAGTCACTTGCTAATCATGCTAACGACATGCTAGTCACTTGCTAATCATGCTAACGACATGCTAGTCACTTGCTAATCATGCTAACGACATGCTAGTCACTTGCTAATCATGCTAACGACATGCTAGTCACTTGCTAATCATGCTAACGACATGCTAGTCACTTGCTAATCATGCTAACGACATGCTAGTCACTTGCTAATCATGCTAACGACATGCTAGTCACTTGCTAATCATGCTAACGACATGCTAGTCACTTGCTAATCATGCTAACGACATGCTAGTCACTTGCTAATCATGCTAACGACATGCTAGTCACTTGCTAATCATGCTAACGACATGCTAGTCACTTGCTAATCATGCTAACGACATGCTAGTCACTTGCTAATCATGCTAACGACATGCTAGTCACTTGCTAATCATGCTAACGACATGCTAGTCACTTGCTAATCATGCTAACGACATGCTAGTCACTTGCTAATCATGCTAGCGACATGCTAGTAACTTGCTAATCATGCTAGCGACATGCTAGTCACTTCCTAAACATGCTAGCGACATGCTAGTAACTTGTTAATCATGCTAGTCACTTGCTAATCATGCTAGAAACATGCTAGCGACATGCTAGTAACTTGCTAATCATGCTAACGACTATGCTAGTCACATGTTAATAATGCTAGCGACATGCTAGTCACTTGCTAATCATGCTAGTAACTTGCGAATCATGCTAATGACATGCTAGTAACTTGCTAATTATGCTAACGACATGCTAGTCACTTGTTAATCATGCTAGCAACATGCTAGTAGCATGCTAATCATGCTAGAAACATCATGCTAACGACATAGTAGTCACTTGCTAATAATGCTAGCAACATCCTAGTCACTTTTTAATCATGCTAGCAACATGCTTGTCACTTGCTAATCATGCTAGAAACATGCTAACGACATGCTAGTAACTTGCTAATCATGTTAACAACATACTAGTGGCTTGCTAATAATGTTAGCAACATGCTAGCAACATGCTAGTAGCATGCTAATCGTGCTTATAACATGCTAGCAACATGCTAGTAACTTGCTAATCATGCTAGCGACATGTCTAATATCTATATCTGTCTGTCTATCTATCTATCTATCTATCTATGTATGATATGACTCTATCTATCTATCATCTGACTATTTCTTTCTTCCTTTCTTTCTTTCTATCTATCTATCTATCTATCTATCTATCTATCTTTCTATCTATCTATCTATCTATCTATCTTCATAGCAACACTCTAGCAACTATCCAAACCAACCTAGCAACCACCCCGGGAACCCTAGCAACTGCGTAGCAACACCTTAGCAACCGCCCGGGTACCATAGCAACCGCATAGCAACACCTTAGCAACCGCATAGCAACACCTTAGCAACCACCCCGGGTACCTTAGCAACCGCATAGCAGCACCTTAGCAACCGCCCCGGGCACCCTAGCAACTGCATAGCAACACCTTAGCAACTGCCCCGGGTACCCTGGCAACTCCTCTAGCAACCAGCCCAACTACCCTAGCAAACATGCTAGTCACTTTGCTAATCATGCTAGCAAGATGCTAGTCACTTGTTAATCATGCTAGCAACATGATAGTAGCATGCTAATCATGCTAGCAACATGCTAGTCACTTGCTAATCATGTTAGAAACATGCTAGCGACAAGCTGGTCACTTGCTAATCATGCTAGCAACATGCTAGTCACTTGTTAATCATGTTAACAACATGCTAGTAGCATGCTAATCATGCCCGAAACATGCTAGCAACATGCTAGTAACTTGCTACTCATGCTAATGACATACTAGTCACTTGCTAATCATGCTAGCCAAATGTTAGTCACTTTTTAATCATGCTAGCAACATGTTAGTAGCATGCTAATCATGCTAGAAACATGCTAGCAACATGCTAGTAACTTGCTAATCATGCTAGTCATTTGCTAATCATGCTAGAAACATGCTAGAAACATGCTAGTAACTGGCTAATCATGCTAGCAACATGCTAGTCATTTGCTAATCATGCTAGAAACATGCTAGCAACATGCTAGTAACTAACATGCTAGTCACTTTGCTAATCATGCTAGCAAGATGCTAGTCACTTGTTAATCATGATAGCAACATGATAGTAGCATGCTAATCATGCTAGAAACATGCTAGTGACTGGCTAATCATGTTAGCAACATGCTATTCACTTGCTAATCATGCTAGAAACATGCTAGCGACATGCTAGTAACTTGCTAATCATGCTAACGACATGCTATTCACTTGTTAATCATGCTAACAACATGCTAGTCACATGTTAATCATGCTAGCGACATGCGAGTCACTTTGCTAATCATGCTAGCAACATGCTATCTACATCTATCTATCTATCTATCTATCCATCTCTGACAGACTGTATTGCCTTCAAAACTTTAAAACTTTAAGCTTTTAAACCTACTTTAAACTTCAAACTATTTCAGACTGAAAACCATCAAACTTAAAACTTTTTTAAACTTTTCAAACCTTTTCAAACTTTCTTGTCCGGTTTTCTCAAGCCAACTTAAAGTTTGTCTTGACGAACTTTTTTATCTAGTTAGAAATTAGTATTCACATTTAGACCGAAAATCTCACTGTGATCAGTGCTATTCCACTGTATGTCCAACTTAAAGTTTGTCTTGACGAACTTTTTTATCTAGTTAGAAATTAGTATTCACATTTAGACCGAAAATCTCACTGTGATCAGTGCTATTCCACTGTATGTGGAGGTTTGTATTAGTTCCTCATAAAGAGCGTTTTTTTTCTCTGTCTTACCACAGGTTGTGGAAATCAAGCTGCGTTTTGAGATCTATGACAAACGACAAAAAGTTCTTAGCTTGCAGAAGGCTGCGAGTAAAGGTGAGATTAAGTAATGGTATCTGACCTGTCTTAACTGAATGTTCAGACTTTGTCAGAGATTATTAATTCAGAAGAGACTTTGTATTGCAACAGGCCAGTGTGCTAAAGTGACCCAGTCATCTGGACAGAAGTCAAATAAAGAGAGTAAAGGGGTAAGATCTTCTCCATGAGTTCTCCGAGATCCAGCTTCTTTGCTGCTTCACTCATCCTCTCATTGTCTTTGACAATTTTTCTTCACTTTTTTTCCCATACAGCAGGAGACCGGCCCATCCCGAAAGAGAAAGTCAAGCACCTCTCTTTCGGATGTAGAGGGTACATATTGCAATTAAATATAGTTGCCTTACCGTTCTCTGTGTGCATGCTGTTGATTGCGCCGTTGTTTTTTTGCAGTTGAAGATGAGGAAAGTACAATAGAGGAGCAGGAGGCGATGGAGGTGGCAGCTGATCAGAAAGCAGAGCTGGCCGAACTAACAAAAGAAGGTAAGTTTTAGGATTGAACGATTAATTGCATTTGCGATAATATCGCGATATGAAAAAATGCGATTCTCCAACCGCAGAGGCTGCGATTTACACTCGGTCACGTGACACGCAAGAGTAAAGAGGTGTGATCGACTTGAAGATCGATCCGTGTATGACATCAAAGTAAGGGGAGAGAAAGCATAAGGAGACGTCCGCGCTCTCTTATAGCTCTCGCAGTACTTTGATGACACACCGATCGGTCTAAGCAGCGCTTCAAGTCGAACACATCTAAGCAGTCTTCAGAGGAAGCATCATGTTGACACGCTACAGTGTTGCCAAGTCCACGGTTTGGGGAACCCCTCCAAAAAACTTGTATTTTATCCCCTGGAACGTGATTATTACCGGTGGACCCCCCTCGAAACGCGACTGGGCTAGTTTTGAGTAGCAATTGGGTGGGCTTTGTTGTGAAAAGCTGGCAACCCTGGCACGCTACACGCGGAAATGTTTGAAAGCGTATATGAACATACTTCAAAACGGCACATTGAAATTACTCAAGCAGTAACACTGTGTTACGGTGCATTTCAATACTGAAGACTTCGACCTTAAGATAATATATATATATATATATATATATATATATATTCAGATCTATGACAAACGACAAAAAGTTCTTAGCTTGCAGAAGGCTGCGAGTAAAGGTGAGATTAAGTAATGGTATCTGACCTGTCTTAACTGAATGTTCAGACTTTGTCAGAGATTATTAATTCAGAAGAGACTTTGTATTGCAACAGGCCAGTGTGCTAAAGTGACCCAGTCATCTGGACAGAAGTCAAATAAAGAGAGTAAAGGGGTAAGATCTTCTCCATGAGTTCTCCGAGATCCAGCTTCTTTGCTGCTTCACTCATCCTCTCATTGTCTTTGACAATTTTTCTTCACTTTTTTTCCCATACAGCAGGAGACCGGCCCATCCCGAAAGAGAAAGTCAAGCACCTCTCTTTCGGATGTAGAGGGTACATATTGCAATTAAATATAGTTGCCTTACCGTTCTCTGTGTGCATGCTGTTGATTGCGCCGTTGTTTTTTTGCAGTTGAAGATGAGGAAAGTACAATAGAGGAGCAGGAGGCGATGGAGGTGGCAGCTGATCAGAAAGCAGAGCTGGCCGAACTAACAAAAGAAGGTAAGTTTTAGGATTGAACGATTAATTGCATTTGCGATAATATCGCGATATGAAAAAATGCGATTCTCCAACCGCAGAGGCTGCGATTTACACTCGGTCACGTGACACGCAAGAGTAAAGAGGTGTGATCGACTTGAAGATCGATCCGTGTATGACATCAAAGTAAGGGGAGAGAAAGCATAAGGAGACGTCCGCGCTCTCTTATAGCTCTCGCAGTACTTTGATGACACACCGATCGGTCTAAGCAGCGCTTCAAGTCGAACACATCTAAGCAGTCTTCAGAGGAAGCATCATGTTGACACGCTACAGTGTTGCCAAGTCCACGGTTTGGGGAACCCCTCCAAAAAACTTGTATTTTATCCCCTGGAACGTGATTATTACCGGTGGACCCCCCTCGAAACGCGACTGGGCTAGTTTTGAGTAGCAATTGGGTGGGCTTTGTTGTGAAAAGCTGGCAACCCTGGCACGCTACACGCGGAAATGTTTGAAAGCGTATATGAACATACTTCAAAAAACCTTAACGGCATCCTGGCAGATGAAACTGGCCTTGGCAAAACTGTACAGACTGTGGCTTATTTTGCTCACTTGGCCTGCAGCCAGGGTACCACCACCAACCACATTTGCCACCTTTATAGAGTCAATAATATTTGGTTTTCTTCTCATAGCATTTGTTTGTTGTATTTTTAAGAATAAAATGCAACACATTCTGCTGTCATGTGGTTGCTGCAGGTATCTGGGGGCCGCATTTAGTGGTGGTGAGGACCTGTAAGCTGCTGAACTGGGAGATGGAGTTTAAACGCTGGTGTCCTGGACTGAAGATACTCCTGTACCTTGGCAGCAGAAGGCAGCGCAGATACAAGAGATCGGTATGAACCAGAGAAAGCAAGCCAACCTGCTATGTACTCTCTCATACTGCCACCTGTCTATCCATCCCTGTTGCTGTGTCCTAGCTGTTGTGCGTCAGTTTTTGCATTAGGTTCCCAACCACATTTCTGGAGGCCCCCCAACACTGCACATTTTGCGTGTCTCGTTAATCAAGCACACCTGATTCAGATCATCAGCTCATTAGCTGAGACTCCAAGACCAGAAATGGGTGTGTCAGATAAAGGAGACATGGAACATGGACATGCAGTGTTGGGGGGCCTCCAGGAACGTGGTTGGGAACCACTGCATTAGAGTATTGGTACCAAATACTGAAATTTTGGTACCGTGACAACACTACTTACAAGGATGAAAGTTCAACAAATCAGTCAATATAATACTGTGATTGTAGTTGTGAAATAAAAATGTCATTCATATCAATTCATGCATCACCTAATTTCATCGTAACATATAGGCCTGGCCTACAGAAAAGAACATTTATGTTTAATCTATCTAATATTGTGTTGGTCATACTATACAGTGATTTATAGCTTGTGTTTGTTGAATAATACAGAACATAAAGAGCTTTAAAAAATTGCATATTAAATCGCAATCACAATATTGGTAAAAAAAAATCGCAATTAGATTATTTTCCAAAATCGTTCAGCCCTAGTAAGTTTTTCATTTTAAACTTATGGGCATGTCTTTAAACGGTAATGCATTTTTTGTTATCCTCCTTCAAATTTTGGAAATATATCAGACTATGTACGAGCATAGAGTGTTGCATGTTTAGACATCGACTGAAATTTGTAATACTGATTTTGGGCATTTTTAAGTTTATTGATCATGCCTTCTCAAAAATATTTGAAACATTATGTAGTTATATAAATCTATTCATACACTTGACAATGCTTTTTTAATAATTCAATAAATGTTTTCAAATGTTTTTAGTGAATTTTAGATACAATTGAATTTTATGTACAACTTTTTTTCAGCTTAATTTATTTATAATCTTTTCAGTATGCAAAATTGCTGGGTAATTATAAATCTGAATTACATCGGCCATCAGCCACTTCACTCTGTAGTTATCAGCCACTGAAAACTCATATGGCACAGCCACTGCTATAAACTGTGTCTGTGTCTTGTAGCTGAAGTGCCATTGGATGATCTGGTGAAGCAGTATGCTGGTGCTTACGCAGAGGGCTTTGAGTGGCCGCAGCCTTCCAGCCAGAGCGAAGGTGAAGACAGAGAGGAAGCTGATGGTTTGTGTACATCTGCTTAAGAACTAACTTTAGAGCCCCATCAAATCCCTGAAGTACAAAAGAATTCAAATAAATCAGTACTTTTGACAGTATATTGATTTGATGTCACAGTAACAGTTAATTCTCTTCTCTGTTCAGACATGGATCCTCCATTGGACAGTCCACATGATGCAGTGCTGATAGACTCTTTGCTGAACATGGATCAGTACCGTGGGGCCGAGCGGATGGCTTTTGGCCCTGATGGGAAGCCCACAAAGGATATCGCTGAGGTTGCTGCAGCAACGGACCTGATTCTCCCCAAAGGCAGCGCCAGGACCACTCTAACTGTGAGTCATTTACGCTCTTACTCACAGGGACTGTTTAAAACATGATTATTAAAGATTCAATTGAGCAGTTGTTTAACTCAAAGTGGCCTCACAGTGTCTGATTTTCTTATGGCTCATGGACCCTTTCCTTTCAGAGTCGTTCCTCTCCTCCTGCTCTGCTGCACGGCTCTCTGAGAGAGTACCAGCAGGTCGGGGTGGAGTGGCTGGCAAGCCTCCACCGCAAAAACCTTAACGGCATCCCGGCAGATGAAACTGGCCTTGGCAAAACTGTACAGACTGTGGCTTATTTTGCTCACTTGGCCTGCAGCCAGGGTACCACCACCAACCACATTTGCCACCTTTATAGAGTCAATAATATTTGGTTTTCTTCTCATAGCATTTGTTTGTTGTATTTTTAAGAATAAAATGCAACACATTCTGCTGTCATGTGGTTGCTGCAGGTATCTGGGGGCCGCATTTAGTGGTGGTGAGGACCTGTAAGCTGCTGAACTGGGAGATGGAGTTTAAACGCTGGTGTCCTGGACTGAAGATACTCCTGTACCTTGGCAGCAGAAGGCAGCGCAGATACAAGAGATCGGTATGAACCAGAGAAAGCAAGCCAACCTGCTATGTACTCTCTCATACTGCCACCTGTCTATCCATCCCTGTTGCTGTGTCCTAGCTGTTGTGCGTCAGTTTTTGCATTAGGTTCCCAACCACATTTCTGGAGGCCCCCCAACACTGCACATTTTGCGTGTCTCGTTAATCAAGCACACCTGATTCAGATCATCAGCTCATTAGCTGAGACTCCAAGACCAGAAATGGGTGTGTCAGATAAAGGAGACATGGAACATGGACATGCAGTGTTGGGGGGCCTCCAGGAACGTGGTTGGGAACCACTGCATTAGATAATTCCCCTAAGTGGTTTTCAAATCAGTTTGTAGGTCATTTAGATCCTTGATGATTAAGTGGGCACATTTGTCCATGTTTTGTTTTTGTCTGTTCTCACTTTCCCACTACTGTCTAATGTGTGCAGCGGTGGTGTGAGCCCAACAGCTTCCACGTGTGTGTGACTTCATACAAGCTCCTACTGAAAGATCAGTCTCACTTCCTGAGGAGGCGCTGGAGGCACCTGGTGCTAGACGAGGTGCAGCTCATCAAAAACATGACAGAGAAACACTGGGAGACCATCTTCAACATAAAGAGGTTAGAAACAATGCTGCTGGTTTCTATACAGCAGGGGTACTCAAGTTCAGAGGCCCAGGGGGCCACATTTAAACCACATAAAATGCAAAGCGCCACAAAATACAATTTGCATTATAAGACTTTATTTAAAACAATATTTGCAGTTTTACTGATTTAGAAATGCAGTTTATTACTTATCTAAGTCTTGTTTGTCCTTGTCCTATTTAAAATAATACTGAACATTAAAAATTACAAAATCTGGAATAAAAAAGTGGATTAACAGTTTTTGCTATATTCATTAAAAATTGCATTCATACTCCAACAGAGTATTAAACAAACTCAGAATGTTCAAACTCAAAACATTCTTGAGCAAATATACTTCACAAATTTCTTTAGAGAGAAGTATAGACCAGTTTGGAGTAGATGTCATAGTTACGTCACTTGCAGCTGCGTGCTCATTGTGGTGGCAGAAAAAACACTGGTAACAGGTGGTAAAATCCATGGAATAAGAGAAAAAAAGTATTGTTGTGTTGTGTTGACGCCATTTGAAGCTAAACACAGACGTTTAAATGGACAGAATATGGATAAACCTGCTATGATTACCCTACTTTTAAAGCATACATTTGTTACCTAGTATGTTGAATAAAAAGAATATACAAACACTTTAACTGATCAAACATGAAGACAGTAAACACATGACCACAACAATATATGGTTCATCTGTGTTCTTCAAGCCATCTCTGGTGTTTTCATAAAAATAAAGTATATTTATAATCCAATGCTAATCTACATAGCCTCGTTCTTTGATAAGAAGCCACATCAGATCACAAAATGAAGTTATTTTAAACACTCGGCTGATGTTGTGGAGTAAAATCATGTTATTAAATGTTCTCTTTTGTTGGATAATGCTCTTTAAGTTGTTTGGCGTGTGTAGCTTTTTCAAATGCACGTTATGAGTGAATAACGGCGCTTGAAGAAATCGAGCAGCATTTACTACTGTGCATGTAGGTTATTTATTTAATTAAAAAATAAAATAAAAAAGAATAATATATATATTAAAAAACTGATTAATCGTTCAGCCCTACTTAATGAGCAGATATGTTGAGCATCATTAAATATAGGCTAATATTATCTTTATATTTTAATGTTTAACAATTGATTAGGCCAAAAATGTATATTACATAAATTGATACATTATTTATGTTTTCTTTATATGGCACATTTTTATACTCCGGGTCGCTATACAAAGTTAGTAGTAGTAATAATAGTACTACAACTATTATTACTACATTAACTTTTAGTCAGAATCTGCTCAATATCTATGTACTGCTCAGCGCTTATTGAGTTCTGCACAGACCAAAAAAAATAGGGGAGGTTTCGCAAGAGTGCAAAACTCAGTGAGCTCATTGACATGATGACAGCTCCATTCATTGTAATGGGAGCATATTTTTTGCTTGCTTTAACCCGTTCACAATTTGAATAAGAGTTTATTTTTCATGCTACTAAGAGGACCATCTGCCAATTATACAATGCAAAGTGTCAGGAATATCAACTGCATTTAAATGACGCCAACATAGTCACACTGCCTAAAATTTGCGCTACTTTAAAAAAAAGAAAAGAAAATACATTAATATTATTCAGCATGACGTAGGCCACAAAATTAATGCAGACGGGCCGTATACAGTATCTGTTGGTATCATGTTTTCTACATTTTTGCATTAATTCTATTCACAGTAGATTTTGTAGATTTATCTTTTACAACAGCTGTTTACTAGGGATGCACAAAATATTAATACCATTGAAGTTAATCTTTACTTACAGCATTTAAAATGATAGATTTTTTGTTTTTAGCATTTTATTGGTTGATATGAGCTTAATATCAGTGCATTCCTACTCTATCAGAGTTCTGTAACAGGGTTGTTTTAGTATTATTTGTATTCTATTATATTATTTATTAATGTTTTGAATTAGCTTTTTATATTCTCAGTTTCAGTTTATAGTTTCAGTTCATTTTGGTTTAAGTGTTAAGTTTTTTAGAATGCCTGTTGAGCCTTTATTTCAGTTTTAGTAATTAAAGGGGTGGTTGATTGCGATTTCACTTTTTTATCGTTAGTGTGTAATGTTGCTGTTTGAACATAAACAATATCTGCAAAATTACGGCGCTGAAAGTTCAATGCAAATGGAGATATCGTCTTTTAAAATGAAGGCAGTTTAATGCCTACAACAAGTTACTTCCTGGGTTCGTGACATCACAAACCCAGATAAACCCCGCCCCCGGGAACATGCAACAAAGGGGGCGAGGCCATGTTGTGCTGCTTTAGAGAAGAGGAAGAGAAAACTAGGGGTGCACGAAAAAATCTATTCATATATGAATCGCGATTCTGTCTTCTAACAAAAAAGTATTCACAAGTTTCATAATCAATGTTCTAAAGCAGCAGTTCTTAATCCTGTTTCTCGCGTCCCCCTGCTCTGCATCTCTGTCTCTCTCTCTCTCATTCAGATCATCAGCTCAGCTCCAACAATTAACTGTTCCAATTATACACTTACTTTTACATAGCTATGAGAAGCATTATACATGGACGTGCGTGCGGTTGCCGTACTGTATTAAAGCTTTAATCAGGATAAAACCGTATATTAAAAGCTAACAGAAGCAGTAGCATTTACAAATAACAGCGTATCTAAAAGTATGAGACAACAACAAACAAAAAACATAACATTAAGAGCCATGTGCTTGCACAGGTTCTGCACGATCCACTTCACTATTATCCTCTGTGTCTCAATCGGGCTCAATTTGATGAGCAATATTGATGACGCCATTGTTTACAATACAACTGGAGCACATGCTGCTGAGGCGAGGGCCGGGACGTTTAGACACGCACTAGAGGCGGTTTAGCCAATCACAACACACTGGGCTAGCTAACCAATCAGAGCCCATCGCCTATTTCTGAGGGAGGGGCTTCATAAAAGCAGGAAATGATCAGCGCATTGAGAGGAGAAGGGACAGAGCGGTGTGGAATAAAGGTAAATTATGTGAAAAATAATGCTTTTTTTTTTTTAAATGAAGCATTAACACATGTTAGATTGCACCCCGTAAACACAATCAAGCCTAGAAAAAAACCAGTCAACCACCCCTTTAAACATTTTATCAGTCAGTTGCAATTTTCACTTTTCATTTATCTTAATATCTATACTTTATTTCAATTAACAAAAATTATTTTAATGATATTAGTTTTGTTTACAATAACACTATACTGTTTGCAAGTTTCAAAAATACTTTGTATATACAGTATCTCACAGAAGTGAGTACACCCCTCACATTTTTGTAAATATTTTATTATATCTTTTCATGTGACAACACTGAAGAAATGACACTTTGCTACAATGTAAAGTAGTGAGTGTACAGCTTGTATAACAGTGTACATTTGCTGTCCCCTCAGCACAGTAACTCAACACAGCCATTAATGTCTAAACCGCTGGCCACAAAAGTGAGTACACCCCTAAATGAAAATGTCCAAATTGGGCCCAAAGTGTCAATATTTTGTGTGGCCACCATTATTTTCCAGCACTGCCTTATAACCCTCTTGGGCATGGAGTTCACCAGAGCTTCACATCTTGGTCTCATCAGACCACAGGACCAACCCTCTACATTGCGAGTAAATCACTCGCATATGCAACTAATCTTCACTCTGGGCGACTAAATTATGTCTAATATTAGCCACTCGCTAATAAATTCTCAGATTTTACTCGCCAGTGTGTGAGTTGGACGCTAAGTATAAGTTTAGCACAGATATATTTTCACTCGCCGAACACACTGACTGAGCGCTTCAGAGTTTCACTCCCCGTCAAGCGATCTGTGATATTTCTCAGTTCATCTGAATGGATGTGCAACGCACCTGTGTTTGACGTACCGTGAACTCTAGTGTAAAGGCGCACACCTTGTCTCACACACACGCAGAGAGAGAGAGAGCGTTAGAGAGTCTACATGCAGAACTGACGCGCTACATGTAAACGATATTCTTTGTTGTATTTTCCGGACAAAATAACGCCGTTCCTTTGGAATTCTTCAGCTTATAAGAACTGCCGGGTTCTCCGGTAGTGGGCTTATCAGTATTATTGTTAGTTTTTCCACTTTTTGTTTTTTACAGAAACACTGAATAACCAAAAAAGCAGCACCACCAGTCCTAAGTTCAGTTAAAATGACTAATATGTATTTATACATTTACAAAAATGTGAGGAGTGTACTCACTTCTGTGAGATACTGTATTAATGTATTGTAATTGCTGTTAAATATGAATGTGCATCTTCTCAACAGTCAGCAGAGGATCCTCTTAATCAACACACCTCTGCAGAACACTCTGAAAGAGTTATGGACCATGATCCACTTCCTCCTGCCTGGATTCACTCACCCATACCTCAACTTCCCCATCAAACCTGGCACTGATCAGAACCAGGACTACTGCCACAAACTGGTCATCAGACTGCACAGGGTGAGGCTTGCTGGAAGGTGTTTCTGGTGACTTTCACCACAGAATGTTGCACTTTTAGTTAACCACCTTGCCCGAGCACCAAAATCATAGTTTTGTTTTCTTCCTCTTTGCTGTAGGTGATTCAGCCCTTCATCCTGCGCCGTTCCAAGAGAGACGTGGAGAAGCAAATGCCTAAGAAGTATGAGCACATTCTCAAGTGCCGTCTGTCCAAGAGGCAAAAGAGCATGTATGAGGACATCCTCATCCAGCCCAGGTCAGCACAAAACATGCTCAGCCAAACACAATCTTAAAGGGGACATAACACACACAGTTTCTGCCAATCTCATGTTAAACTTGAGTACCTATATAGTAGTATTGCATCCTTCATATCTCCAAAGAGTTTTTAGTTTCTATCAAATTTAGAAAAGAAAGTTGTTTACATTATATGCACTTATGCACCGATTGCCAACAAAACACAGAAATTTGATGCGGTTTTACTTACCATCTGCGGTTCCAGCTCATGACCGGGATCTTTTATCGCTGGGACCTCTCCATCTTTCAGTATCTTTCAGTATTTTTTATAAAACATTAATCACTGAAATTAAGGTAACAAACAAACACACGTGTGAAACTCCGTTGCTGCCCCTGAAAAACAAACTTCATCCACTGTTCCCTTTAATGCTGGGTTCTTTGGGAAGCAAAACAAGGTTATCTTTCCCTCACAACCAAAAACACACTTCTTTGAAGACATTCTTTTCGAGCAAGACCTGTGCAGCACTGCCTATGACTTCCGTAACCCAAATGAAGCACATTGATGATGCCCTTGCTCTCACTGTGGTTGATCTCTGCGCGCTCTCTTCCAGGAGTAGTGCTAGTACAAGGAATTCCACCCTTCAAGGCATCATGAAGGGCCTTACTCGGAAAAAAAACTTTCAGAAACTTACATTAACCCTGAAGGAGTGTATGTGGCACAGAAATACTCCGTAATACGTCTGACTCGTTTTTTGAAACCTGGCCTTTTTAGCATGAGAATCCAACTCTTTAACAGTGTAAATAACTCAGCCAGCCCAGAGACACACACCACTCTTATATATGTCAGCCACTGCAGTACAACACCCCATCATTACTGCTCACAGCCCTGCAGCGGGACCAGTGGAAGGTAAGGAAGAGAAATAAACGCTTGGAATGTGGAATATAGAAGAAAAATGTGTTGACTGATAGGCCATTTTATTTTTATTTTCCAGACTGTAGATATGTCGCTGTTTGACTTGATCAGTAATGAGAGCAAATTGACCCGTTATGAGGCTGAGGAGGCTCTGCCAAAACTCAGAATGACCGAACAGCTGATCGAAGAGATCTACAGTGCACACGACCCACCAGCCAGACCCAGACCATGCAAGATCAAACCTATGAGGTGCCTATCTGTGTAGACCTATCAGCTCTGAACACTTACCCATCATAGTCATACTGATTTCTGTAATTGTATTAACGGGACATAATATTTTTAAATGAGACAAAACAATTAATAGTACACTGAAAATACTGATGTTGGTGCTGCTGTTTTTACACCAAAAATGGTCACTTCCTTCAGAATAATGCATTCTTGTTGAATGAAAAAACATGTTACAGTAGGGTTGGGCCGATAGACGATGGCATTGTCCATCGCCGATGGCTGATAGACATCTTATTATACCTGGCATTGAAACTGCGCTTTTGAATGAACTTTTGAATTGCTTTTTAGCTTCACTTTCACTTTCGAGATTCGCGATCACACGTACTCTGTTTATACTATGGAGCAGCAGTACTTACCACACATTTTACAAGATTATATGTTTGTCAGTGGTGCTGAGGATCTGCAAAGCATTCGCCATCGTCCTCACTCATCTCTACTTACTCTGTTTATGTGGTAAGTGAAATTGTATGTACTGTAATGTAACAGGCAACCGTTACACCGTGTCTCCACCGGACGCGACAGTTATCATGTCGCGCCGTGCCGCATCAGCTAAAGTCTGTCTACACTGGACGCGACAAAGCGACCGTTGAAAATAATTTGAAATTTGTGTCAATACGTCATGAATAGAACGCAGCAGCAGTTTTCTGTCTGTTTATACTATGGAGCGGGAGTACTTGCCACACATTTTACAAGATTATATGTTTGTCAGTGGTGCTGAGGATCTGCAAAGCATTCGCCATCGTCCTCACTCATCTCTACTTACTCTGTTTATGTGGTAAGTGAAATTGTATGTACTGTAATGTAACAGGCAACCGTTACACCGTGTCTACACCGGACGCGCCGCATCAGCTGAAGTCTGTCTACACTGGACGCGACAAAGCGACCATTGAAAATCATTTGAAATTTGTGTCAGTACGTCATAAATAGAACGCGGCGGCAGTTTACTGTCAGGTGTCGTGTCGCGCCACGCCACATCCAGTGTAGACAGCATCACTGATTATAATGAGTTCTATAGACTGATCTATATATAATGAATCTCTATTATAGATCAGTGGTTCTATAGTATTTTGTCGCACCGCGCTGCTTGTGTCCGGTGAAGACACGGTGTTAGGAATAGTTATTTGTTTTCCATGCCTTATAATGATTGACGCTTCGGGCACACCCCCTAACTCCAACGGCACCCCCCCCAGCCCCCGCGCTGCCGATGTCATCGTCCATTGCGATGTTTCACTGTAGACATCGTCCGATGCCAATTTTGTTGACATCGCCCAACAATATGTTACAGTTGTTTTTCTATTAAATACAAATGCAAACATTAAATGCTATTTTTTTCATGCTAAACGTTAGTGTTTCACCTCATTATGAAAGAGAAAATTTATTATAAAATCATTGGTGTAATTTTTATTAATTATTTTACATTTTGTTGTTTTTATTTATTTCATTATAATGTGGACAACGTAATGTACAGCATGATTGGGCCATATGAATTGATTCTGACTGTGGCATATTTGTAATTTCAGGTTGTTTCTGCCGGTGCAGTATGGGACTAAACCAGAGGGTCATCTGGTCCCCATGACTAGCAGCACCACTCAAGCCCCCCGTGCCACTGCTGTGACTACTGCCCCCACCACCACTGCCAACCCTGCTACTGCAGCTCCAAGCACACAGCCCAGAGGCAAATCACCTCTTACCACAAGCACGTCTGCACAAGGTAAGACCCCTTCTTGTGTATCTTACACAAACGTGTTCCCACACTTAGACCCAGAACTGTTTCACAATCTGCAAGTTTTTGTGAAGTGGTATGATATTTTTGTAGTTACTTTTTTGTGTAGATGTTGTGTTTCTTTCCTAAAAATATGCTCACGTCAATTCTTTTGTGTACGTGTTTTTTTTTTCTGCCATCTTACTAAAAGGTGACATCTGTAATACATTATCTTAAGCCAGTTTATTGTACATTAACTACTATAAGCATGCCATTAATGGGTTTATCTCTCCCAAAGGTGTAAACATTGAGCCTCCCAGGCACCATCAAACACATTTAGAGTGGTCAGCTCAGATCTCTTTCTAACTAAACCTGTAGCGAGAATTTGGGTCATGGCTAGTGTAACAGGCTGAGCCAGAGGGTGTTTACCCGGTGTGGTACAGTGGTTGATGCGTTACATTGGAAAAGAAATTTGGTTACAGAAGTGTGAGCCAAAATTGGAAGACTTGCCAGAATACGCAGATACAGACAACGGGGTAAAACAAGGGTAAACATTAGCGGTGCTTTTACAAAAATTTGATTGAATGTTTGGGTTTCAATTGAGACGCCGGATTTATTGTAACTAATACAAAACTTCCATTTCAAATAATACATTTCATAAATCTGTTTGTACGCTGCCCTTTAGCAAGTAAAAATAATATTATTTTAATATTTTTTAATGCTTTCTGAGGGTTCACTGAAATCCCGAACCCCATAATTTTAATTTTTGGGTGAACTATTTCTTTAAAGTCGACATTAAATGGAAATTGCGATGCAACTTCAAATGTAGGGTGGGTCTTGATTTTGACATTTGGGAATTGATTGGATTGTTGTCATTTGTTACTTGCTGTGATTATTGAATTGTTTCAATAAACAGCAATTTTCCATTAAATAAATAAATAAGAATTGTCAGTTAAAATTTCATGGTGACTTCAAGCAATCACATAGCAATGCCCTGGCACTGTAGCTGTGAGTTTTGTAACACATTGTAATATTGTATGTCCCAAATAACTTTTTATTTAGAGGATTTAAAAAAATTAATCCTCCAACCCCATTACACTCGCCCTGATTGGTCCATTCAGACTGTTGACTCTTTTTCCTCTTTAGCCTCCGCAATCAGCAGCTCATCAGGATCACTCTTAACAGGAGCCACCCCTAACCCCACTTCTACCCCTCTGGCTGTGGGTGTGACAGGGGTCACTACTATGTCTGCCGTGGCCCCCCATGCCCCTGCCGCCCACCCCCTCCAGCCCAGTTTGGTACCCCAGAGGCTGGTGCTCAGCTCCCAGGCCCAGGCACGCTTGCCTAGTAAGTGGCCTCATCATCACCCACCGCAGATAGGCCCTCTCCTTTGTGCCCTCTCCCTTGTGCACCTGTTTCCTTCTTATCATGCCCCCAAGCACAGCAGTAAACGTCCTCAGTGAAGATCAGAGACTACGGTATGGCTCTGCTGAAGTGGGCAAACAGGCATACAGAGTTCCACCAAAGAAACTAATGGTGATATTCAACTAAAATTCAGCCATATCGACACCATAAATCTGGCTTATTTCCAGTCTGATTTGAAGTGCAGAAAATCTTCAGCAGATGGCCTATGGTGGTTTCTCTCCTCACCCTTCACAAACAAGCATGAACCCTCCAGATCTTTCTCCGGACTGCACCCGCTGCCTCCAGTTTATTCACATCTTCTTTTTTTCCTTCTGCATTTTAATGATTAATCTCTTTGTTTTTCATGCAGTACAGCTGAAGGATGATCCAGAAGTGGTATCATAAATATTATAATACGGTTTTGCCTCCCTATCTTTTCAGTGCAGCTTTTCTTCAGAGCCGTTTATTTTGTTGCCCATCTGTGGGTGTAAAGAGCGTCAAGCTTGTGGGCCTACTCCCCATGTCACATGTAACCATCGTTACATGGAAGACCTTTTAAACAAACAAATATTTTCTCCCACTTTGTTTTGCTCTGCTAAACGAATCAGTCTATTTTCATTTTGTTTGTTTCAGGTTTTTTTGTAAGGTTTTGTTTGAGGAAAAAGTGTCATTTTTCCTGTTTAACACACTGGTTGTGCATGTCCCTTTCCGTGCTCACCCCGAAACTAACTAAAATGTTCTTTCTTTCTCAGAGATAAAATGTCAGCCACTTTGCACTATCATTTAACATGAGTTGTTTTCTACTGAAGGTGGAGATGTAATGAAGGTTGCTCAGTTGGTTGGGCAGGGTCGTATTGCCCAGCCAGAGACCCCTGTGACCCTGCAGTTCCAGGGCAACAAGTTCACCTTGTCTCCAAGTCAGCTGCGACAGCTCACCACCGGCCAGCCCCTGCAGCTCCAAGGTACACTCGGTAATGTCCAGCCCATATTCATCCTCTCTCTGTCTCATTGCACTTCCATATTCAGTCACTTGTGTCAGCTGATTTTATGTGTGTTTAGTCAATCCTCATTATATAGCTTAATGTGACGCTCATACTTTTATGTGCCTGCTTTAGGCAACATCTTGCAAATTGTGTCAGCCCCTGGACAGCCTCTTCTCAGGCCACAGGGGCTGCCCATGGTGATGCCTACCATACCCCAGGCTGTGCCTGTCCAGAACTCCTCAGGCACGCCGCCCCCTGCCACCTCCATGCCACCACAAGGTAAGTACCTGCTCTGTCCTGATTATTTTCATTAGTGATCAACCATCACCTAAATCAGTGGTTCTCCACCTTAATTTTTTAAAGGACCCCATGTAGGCTAAGCTGTTGCTGCTACCAGTACCTGCTTGTTTTCAATCTATTTTTTTTTAAATCATAGAAACTAGGAGTTGCAATATATTAAAATAATTAAATATATTAATAATAATTTAATTTAAAAAGATTCAAGGACAGTATATTCTTCAGGGTTTACAGGCTTAATTTCCAATAAAAATTTGTTTAATTCATTTTTTTATTTTTTTTACTATTAGACATTTCTCTATTTCTACCGGATTAAATTGTTTAGAGCTTAAGCTTAGCTAGTCAAAATGTTATATTTATTATAGAAATTGTCATAACTTTTCAAGATTTTATTTTATTATGTTTAATAGTTCTAGTTCTTCCATGGGAACTCTGTTTCTTAAATAAAAATGACAGTTGGTGAGAGAAGTAAAATAAGAAATATGATGCCAGTCATCTTGCTTTTTTCCCCCTTTGCTATATCTAATTTTTGAAGCATATTTAGTATTATTTTTTAATAATTCTAAGCTATCTTTTGCCCCCCCCCCCAAAAAAAATTCTGCTAAGGCCCCCTAGTGGTTCCTGGCCCACTGGTTGAGAACCACTAACCTAAGTATGTTATGTTCTGCTGCTGTCTTACTTAACTTAAACTTAAGTTTCTGTGTTTCCATTAAAGCAAGCACCACAGGCACTCCAGCTACCACAGACATGGAAACAAATGTTAAACGCGCAACAAATGCCACAACGCAGGTAGGTGATTTTGAAAGACGTTGAAGGAATTGATGAAGTTCATTAAATAGTGGTGAACTCTAAACCTTATCTTTGTGTCTATTTAGGAGTCAAGCGAGGAAAGAAACCGGCAGCTCAAAGAGCGTCTGGCTAGTTTATTTCATGCCAATGAGCGGCGGTCCTCACGCTCTGTGATGTACGGTTCTGACCTGATCAAGAGCTGCTCTGTTTATGAGGGACACCCTCCACCAACCTTCCCCGCACCCCAGCACTCCCGCTGGTCTTGGGTCGGCAGAGACAGCTGTATTAGGGCTCAGCAGACATGTGTGTCCACGGTTGCTCCACTTCGCTCAGTGATTCTCTCCAACACAGAGCAGGAGGCAGCAGCAGGCACCTTGTTGAAGAGGTCTGGATTTGACCATGAACTCCTTGCCATGAAAGCAGTTTTGTGAACTTTTTGTCATTTAATGCTGCTTCCTGTTTTATTTTAGGTTCTCCTGCATACTTCCTGCTGCTGTGGCCCCTCCCCCTCAGCTGTATGCATCCAATCCTCCACCATCTTACAGCCTAGCACAAAAATCATTCAGGAGACGGCTACAGGAAGTGTCTGCTCCACAAAACGCAGAGATCCGTAACTTAGCCTGTCCTCCTGTCGTCAGGTTCCCTGATGTACACATGTTGGAGATGGATGCAGGTGTGCACCACAACAGAATCCTCAACAATGTTACCTTCAGATTTCAATTTTACAAATACTGCTGATATTTAGTTGAGCCTATTATTATGTATTTGCTATATGGTATCTTCTATCCATCGTGTAACTACCGTTCTGTCATTTACAGTACCTTTCAAAAATGTTGGGTCTGTAATACATATTTTAATGTATTATTTAATATTTTTTAAACAAATACTTTTATTTAGCAAGGACACCTTAAATTAATTGAAAGTCACACTGAAGACATTAATAATGTAACAAAAGTTTTCTGTTTCAAATACATGCTGTTGCTTTGAACTTTCTATTCATCAGAACATCCTAGAAAAAAGTAATGCAAAAAATTACGGTTTCCACAAACATATTAAGCAGCACAGCTGTTTTCAACATATATACAACATATTTCAACATATAATAATAAGAAATTAATTTTCAGCATATTAGAATGATTAGAAACATGTGACTGAAGAATGGAGTAATTATGCTGAAAATTCAGCTTTGCCATCACAGAAATAAAATTATGTTTTAAAATGTATTCAAATAGAAAGATATTTTAAACTGTAATACAGTAAATTTCACAATATTACTATTTTTACTCTATTTACTGGATGTTTTTTTTATTAAATGCAGCCTTAGAGAACATAAGAGACTTCTTTAAAAAACAAACAAAAAAAATTTCCAACCCTAAACTTTTGAGCAGTAGTGTATGCATTAAATTTGTCGCCTTTATAATCTATAAATATCAGTATAAAGTCTGGGTCTTAAGTATAAACTTCTGAGTCTTATTCTGGTTTAGAATTGCCCACTTAGATTTCACTTCCTGTCTGAGTTGGATAATATCATAATAGAATGCCATTGAAAAAACAAACAAATAAACAACATAGCACGGCAATCAGGGTCTGCAACCAGCTGAAAAAAAAAAAAAAGTACAAAATAAAACTGGTATATTGGTAGAAATATTATATAATATAATGTTCCTGTATCTGTTTGCAGGAAAACTGGAGGCACTGTCCATCCTGCTGCAGAAACTGAGTGCTGAGAACAGGCGTGTTATGATCTTCACCCAGATGACCAGCATGCTGGATATATTGGAGGCCTTCTTAGACCACAGTCATCTCACCTATGTACGGCTGGATGAGTCTCTGTCACTGGAGGAGAGACAGGTAAAAGACATGGAGTAACATATTCTCTATTGCTCTCTGTTGCCCCGGCCAAGTCCATGTCCCACTGAGGCTGTGTGGGTTTCTGGGCTGTAATTAAAAGGGCAGCTGAGCAAGCGCTCTTCCCTCCCTGTTGGATTCAGTTCAACACAGGGCCTCAAATGATGCTTACATATCAGTGAAGCGCTATCAACTCCAATACATAAACATCTGATCTTGATCCTTTTATTGAAAACGCAATACCTAACTTGCCATGTTCCTCATGTCCTGACCACTTTCAGGAGCAGGTCAAAAGGTTTAACCGCAACAGACAGATCTTCTGCACCATTCTGACCAATCGCTGCTGCTCAGCCATGGGCCACGTGTTTGACGCAGATACCATCGTGTTTTACGACACAGATCTAAATCCCAGCATGGACATGGGCACACAGGAGTGGTGTGACAAGATCGGCCGCTCCAAAGACATCCACATCTACAGGTCAGACTGATGGACAAATTAAATGTTTTTGCTTGTCAGGTTTATGTTTGTCAGCTTTTTTACCGATGCTGTGCTCTGTCAGGTTGGAGAGCGGGAACTCAATTGAGGAGAAGCTCTTAAAGAACGGCACTAAAGACCTTATAAGAGAGGTAGCTGCGCAGGGCATGGACTACACTCTAGCCTTTTTAACACAGGTAAACACTTTTACAGTCATGCAATCACTGTTATTTTTGACTTTGAGGGACTGTTTCAAAACCTTGGCAGTTATGAGGTTGCGTTTCAGTAGACGGCGAGGCAGCTCACAGCCCGATGCTCACATTATTAATATGTGCTGGACATTCACAGCGCACCATTCAGGATCTGTTTGAGGTTGAGGCTGGTTCTGGAGAGAAGGTGGAGGAGTTTGTGGTTCTCCACCAGGAGCCATCCCCATCCGAATCCATCCCCCCTCACGTGGCAAGACCCTACATCCAGGCCCTGAACACCATCCGACTGAAAACCCAGCACGAGGAGGAGGAGGAGACGGAGGTAGACACAAAAAGTGAGAAAGTGGGAAGACAAGAAGAGATGGATGTGGAGGACGGGGTGAGAGAGGAGGCATCACAGTTAGAGGAGCTGACAGCAGTCATGGAGCAGGTGAGGTTATAGAAAGTGTTACTTGAAAATTTCATTGTTCTTGTACATGCTTTTTATACCCTGCAACCGTAAACTTTTGGTTTTGTGTTATTTAAAATGCAAATTCTGTTGATTTAACTTTATACACTATCGTTTTGAAAGAAAACAGTACAGCTCGTAAATCATTTCTTATCAATGTTGAAAACATTTGTGACCCTGGACCACAAAACCAGTCATAAGGGTCATTTTTTTGAGATTTTGAGATTTATACATTATCTGAAAGCTGAATAAATAAGCTTTCCATTGATGTATGGTTTGTTAGGATAGGACAATATTAAGACTGGTTTTGTGGTCCAGGGTCACATTTGTGCTGCTTAATATTTTTGTGGAAGCTGTGGTACTTTTTATTTCGGAATTCTTTGATGAATAGAAAGTTCTAAAGAACAGCAATTAAATGGAAAAAAAAATCTTTTGTAACATTATAAATGTCTTTAGTGTCACTTTTGAACAACTTGTCCTTGCTGAATAAAAATTGTACTGACCAGAGTTTGTGGTGTTTTGTTTAGCTGACTCCTATTGAGAGATACGCACTGCACTATCTGGAGTACCTGCACATCAGCGAGGATGAACAGGTTATAAAGGTATGAAACATTTTCACACATTACAATACATGTTATGCCTGCCCTGTAAATAATTCAGACGTTGCAGGAGCGCTTGGAAGCTGCTAAGAGAGGCTGGGAGCAGCAGCAGCAACAGAAACTAAAGGTAGAGAAAGAGGAACAAATGATCCTAGAAGATGAGCAGGATCTGTTCACCTACACCAGAGAGGATGCATACAACATGGTACAAATATATTCTAATATTCTAATGTGCTTTTCAGTAGGAAGTGATGTTGTGTCGTATAGATTTGATACCCTGTTCCCTTCGTCTTTATAGGAGTATGTGTTCGAGAATGAGGATGGACAAACAGAAATAATGCCGGTAAGTTTAAGAAAGCACATTCCTGAAGGGAATTAAAGGATGAGGGAGAATTTTGGGTGAATCTCCCAAAAACATGTCCATATCACATTTTCCTCCAAAATATTTATTTATTTATTTACTTAATATTTAAGTCTCTTTTTTGCACTTTGATGTTATTGCATTCTATTTTTTTTAATAGAATTTAAATCAAAAGCAATGTAATTGTTACTGTGATGTATAAAGAATTTACGACTTAATGGTATTTTTTTTATTTCCATCTTACAAGTCTTATATAACTGTTATCAGAATGAGATTTTTTTAATTAATGAATGAAATGTGATGTTCCAATGCCAATAATCTAAAGAGTACAAAAAGGCCTATTTTTAATTTTTTGAAGCTAATTATATTTTATTTGTTTAATTTGATTTGTGGGTAAAATTCTTGATGATTTCTGTGAGTCTTACTGTTGCTCTTTTCTGTAGCTGTGGACTCCCCCAACTCCTCCACAGGATGATAACGATATCTACATTGACTCTGTAATCTGCCTCATGTATGACACTGCGCCTATGCCCGAATCCAAACTGCCCCCAGTCTATGTCCGCAAAGAGCGCAAGAGACACATGGATCCATCAGGTTGGACTGCTCAAGAAACGCTTTCAACATCTGAACTTACTGTGCTTAAACACATTCTAAATTCTGTCTTTTTCTCTCTCTCTTCCCCTTCTCGTCAGCTCTGGGACGTAAGAAAAAGAAGGGCCATGGAGAATCAGTGATTCCTCCACGCTCTCTCTTTGATAAAGCCAGTCTGCTCAAAGTAAGGCGGGAGGGCAAAGACCAGAAGAAGAACTTCTCTCTGAAGCAACAGGCTCCCTTTGCCAAACCACTGCCCTCACTGCTCAAACCAGCCATGGAAGCTGGGCAGGACAACCCTGAGTGGCTCATCAGTGAAGATTGGGCCCTGCTACAGGTACTTGATTCATCACATGTCATTGCATTATCACTGCCAATGTATAAACTCACAGTTGTGTGTTAAATGGATTAGCTGTGGTTGTAATTTTGTCTTTTTCCCTGCATTCACAGGCTGTGAAGCAGTTACTGGAACTTCCTCTGAACCTGACCATTGTGTCTCCAGCGCACACTCCTAACTGGGACCTGGTGAGCGATGTGGTCAACTCCTGTAGCAGAATTTACCGCTCGCCGAAACAATGCCGTAACCGCTATGAGAATGTCATCATACTCAGAGAGGAGGGCAAGGTGGGAGATTGTACCAGGATGTACCTTTTATTTATTTTTCTTTAACATTTTCCTTGTTACATAATTGTACAAACTGTCCTACAGCTAATATATGAAGCTAACCCTAAGAAGAACAAGACCAAGAGCATTTATAAGGTATTAAACATAAGAAAAGAAAAAAAATCAGCACATATTATTAGGTGTTTCTTTGGTAACACTTTCTTTTTCGCGCAGTCCAAGAATAGTCGTCCTCTGCGCACATGTCAGATCTACACACAGGACGACAGCGCCACCCAGATCCAGCTATACAACAACCGCTTTGAGCTGATGAAAATCATTGCTAGCAAGAGGAGCCCGCCAATAAAACCACTGTATGTGCAGGCAGTGTCCAACACAAACATCTTTAAAAGCAACCCAGGCATTGCATTTAGATTGTGACAGAATGCTTTTGTCAGAGTAAAAAAACAAACAAACAAATTTTGTTCATGTTTTTGTTTCTAGACTGGGCATGAATCCATTCCAGAAGAATCCCAAGCATGCCTCTGTGCTGGCTGAGAGGTATTGACTCTTGACGTGCTACTTTGCTTTTACAAAAAAAACCCTGAAGTAATCTGCTTCCAATATTGACCAATGAACTGAAATTCATCATTTAAAAAAAATTATAATATTGACTGATACAGTCTTTAATACATTGTACATCTTTAGTCACATTTGATATTCATTTGTGGTTCTCATTCATTCATCTCATTCATTCATTTATTTTGTGTTTTCTAGTGGGATAAGCTACGACAAGCCTCTGCCTCCTATCCAGGTTGCCTCTCAGAGAGCTGAAAGAATTGCTAAAGAGAAGAAGGTGAGATTTATTTAATGAACCGCTTAAAGAGGTTTTGACGGTAAATAAATTATATGAAACAAGTTTTTTTTAATTTTATTTATTTATATCTTTTTTTTTCTTCTTTTCTGTTTTTAAACGCTTCTCTCTTTTCCTCTATATTCCGCTGCCGCAGGCACTAGCCGAACAGCAGAGGACTCAGCAGTTAGCCCAGCAACAACAGCAGCAGACTACAGGAGCCGCCCAGCCGCAGGGAGCTGCTGCCCAGCCTCAAGCCCAGCCACAGGCCACTGCAGCGGCCGCACAGGCAGCGGGAGTGGCCCAGCCCAACCAACCCGGAGCAGCAGCAGTCCCCAACACCACTGTACTGGTTAGACTCCTTTAGCACTGCATGTTAAATGTCACACTGGACCTTACGTACACCTGTATTTAGCCCTAGATTATCCAAGATGAAGGTCTAAGAGTAATTTCTATATGACGGTTGTATTATTCATGTATACACGACTGTTCCAAATGTTTGGAGTCAGGAGCATTTTTGTAAATATTTTTGAAAGAGGTCTCTTATACTTAAGATTAAGTACAAGAAGACATTAATATTTGAACAAGACATTAAGATAAGAACAAGAAGACATTAATATTTGATCAAATAACAGTACTATTGTGAAATAATATAGTTTAAATAGTAATATTATTACAATTTAAAATAACTCTTTTCTGTTTTAATATATTTTAATATGTAATTTGTTCCAGTGATGGCAAAGCTGATTTTTCAGCAGCCGTTTCTCCAGTCCTCTGTGACACATGAAATCAAACTAATAACCTGATTTGGTGCTTCTTTTCATTATTAGTGTTGAAAACGATGGTGATGTTTATTATTTTTATGAAAACCTTGATATTTTATTTCAGGATTCTTTAATGAATAGAAAGAGAACAGAAGAAAAATTTGACAGAAATCTTTTGTAAAATTAGAAATGTCTTGGCTGTCACTTTTGATCAGTTTGATGTGTCCTTAGTGAATAACGAATGTATTAATGAAGTATTAATTTCAGTAAAAAAAATCTTACTGACCCCACATTTTTAAACTGTGGTGTATTATATAATAAGGTATAAGGGTATAATATGTTAATCTTGTTTGGGTTTTGCTGATTCTCAAGACTGGAGCTATCAAGACCGCTGCAGTGGGCACAAGTATCCAGCCAGGTATTATCACAATTATACACAACCTTTACCTGTACTTGTTGATCCAGTTGTGAGTGCTGTTTATATAAGTGCTCATCTATGTATATTTCTGTTTAAACTTCAGCGAAAGCTACAGTGAGTGGAAACGTGATTGTAAACACTGTGGCTGGAGTTCCTCCTGGGCAGTTCCAGGCGAACAAGCGTCTGGCATCTCCTGTCATGCCTGTGAGTTCTGTCCACCCTCATACAGCACACATAATAACTGAAAAACTTCTGCCGTTTACACAGATATATAGATTATCAGCTGATTTGATTTGTCACAGCAGTGCCTGCAGTGTGACCTGCTGTGTGGTGTTCAGAAGTCCACATTGAAAGTGTAGAATACAAAATATAGTCAGTTTGATCTATTATTTTGTTGTGAAATTACTTTTCAGCGGATTTGTACCATTCTGTCCTGTTTATTAGTGTTAAATGTTTGTTTGCTGAAACAGACGGCAGGAACAGCCACGGCTCAGGTGGTTCACACTCAGCAGAGAGCAGTGCCTGCAACGGCTGCCCCAGCGGAGGTCGTTGCCATAGCGACGGGTCAGAGCGTGAGAGCTGTTACCCCAGTGACCGCATCAGCTGTGGTGTCCACTAATCTGACTCCGGGTCAGTCCCAAACACGCACGCTGGTTGCTTCAGGTAGACCAAATGCCATCCTTAGAGAAGCCAGTGCGTGATTTGGGTTCTCTGCTGGCGAAATCGATTCACAGAGTCACACTCCCGCATTGTTTTTTGTGCATTCATATCTAGCTGGCCTGTCTACCATTGTTTTATTCTTAAGCCGGTATTTTTGCTTCTCTAGCTCCCGGTATGCAGTTCTCTCAGAGTAAACCACTCACGCCAGCTCAATTACAACAATTACAACTCAGACAACAGTTACAGCAGCAGCAGCAACAAACACAGGCTACATCTCCACAGATCAAAGCAGTAGGAAAGCCACAGCAGGTACACACGTTCTTTAGTATGGAAGATGTCGTATTTGTTTTGCTTTTGCTGACCTATTCTGATAAGAGGTTTTAATATGAAGGAAGTCTAAATGCAATTACAGTATTGCTCAGTGTGTCACTCAACCTGTCCTCCATGTTGTTTGTTGACAAGTCCAGAGTCTACCCTCATGTTTCTAATTGTAGTTAATCATAATTATAGTTAACAGTTGCAGTCGACTGGTATGTTGGCCAATATTTGGCATTTTAGCATTACCTGGTATATTTTTTGAAAATATGATTCTCAGTGGACTTAGATTTACCAGATTACTGATTTCACCTTTGCTTACAGTGTTTACTTCCTTTTGTTTTTGTCATGGTTTTAACAGTTTCTTTATTTATGAAAAATGCTATAAATATGATTTATAGAGTCAAAAGTATAAATTGTATATATAAAAAAGTATAAATGTTAAGGTAACACTTTATAATAACTTTCATTAATAAATCATTAACAAATTTATATAATGCTTAATGGATCATTAGTTAATATATGTTCAAAGAGTTAGAAACATGAAATCATGTGTTTGTTAATGTTTGCTTATACACTTATTAAACATTAGATAATGTTCAAACAAATCATTATTTCATGCAAATTTCAAATCAATTTGATTATAAGGGAACAAGGTTCAGTCTGTTTATATTATATTGTTTTGATAAATGACCAAATATTTTCTTCAAAATTATGTTTTCCCCTGTTTCTTTTTGATTCAAGGAATATCCTGTTTAATGATATACTGAAGAGTAGTGTACTAATGTGAGTGTTGAGGCAGTAAAAACATTTTTTGCACCAAAATTACAATCTGTTATGTCTTTAGCAAGCATTTAGCTAAACTTAACCAGCCACCCTTTACACAAAACTTGTTACATTAGCTAAAAGTCCAATGCCCATAAAGATACTAAATGATTAGTAATCGTTTATAAACGTTTACAAATGATGAATAGTTTCAACTTTAGATTGGCTATTGCAAAAACATGAACAAATGATTAATAAATGATCTGTAAAGATGCGTGAATAGGGTAAATTCAGGTCTTTCAGGACACTTTTTGCCATTGAGATGACTGCTCATAAAGGTATGAATGATTAGTAAGCATTTATAAACATTTGCAAATGATGAATAGTTTCCACTTTAGATTGGCTACTGCAAAAACATGAACAAATAATTAATAGATTATTTGTTAAGATGTGTAAATAGAGGTCTACACAACAAACAAAGACCAACAAATGAAGATCATATGAACTGAACGTTTACTGACATTAAGTAAGCATTTAAATTTACATTAAATAATCATATGTTAATCATTAGGTAATGTTTAGTAGGTTCATTAGTAAACAATAACAAGAACATTATCTCATATTTCTAGCTATGTGAATATATATTATCTAATGATCTGTTAAGCATTATATAATGTTTGTTGATGATTTATAAATTAAAGTTATTATAAAGTATTACCTAATAAATATATGTTTAACAGAAGCAGAAGCTGCAAATGGCCCAGCAGCAGGTTGCGACGGCGGTTGCTGCAGCTCAAGGTCAGCAGGCTGCATCTACTCAGCAGCCGCAGCAGATTCACGCCACACCAGCGGCTACGTCCAACCCTCAGATAGCAGCTGCGCCCAGAGCAGGAGCTGTGCTTACTGGAACTACAGTCACCAACTTACAGGTGGCCAGACTGGTAAGCACATCAAGTCAAGTCAAGTCAAGTCTGCTTAATTGTCAATTCTTCCACATGTACAGCACATACACACAGAGAATTGAAATTGCGTTACTCTCAGACCCTTGGTGCATACAGATAACACTAACAGTAGAACATAAATACAGATAGATACAGATTAAATATAAAATACAACTATACAAATATACAAATAAGGTAAAATGTAAAAAAAATAAAATAAAGCAGCACAAGGCACATGGCAGATAGAGTGCAAACCAGTGAAGTAAACAACAGTGCAGATATAATGATTTGTAGTGCAAAAGAGCTTATTCAGACTGATTAAAGTGACAGTGTGTGTGTGTATTTGGGAGGGGGGAGTGGGAGAGACAGCAACGAGCAGTATGGCTGTATATTCCCTCGGTAGATAGAACGTAGAACACATACATACACACTCAGACTAACCCTTTCACATACACTTGAATGCACATTAATTCTTTATATGTCTTTTCATTCAGACACGTGTCCCAGCCCCAGGACCCATTCAAGCTCAGCCGGGTCAAACCGCTCAGGTGACTCTGACCAAACCACCTCCTGTCGTCTCAGTTCCTGCTGTGGTCTCCTCCGCCGGAGTCACGACCCTTCCTGTCACTGTGGCTGGCATTAGTGTTGCCATCGGGCAAGCGCAGAAAGCAGGTACAGACTGAAACGAGGAGAATGAGATAGGCCTGTCGCGATTGGTCAATATAATCGACTGTGTCGACGCTGATAATTAGTCAACATCAATATTTTTAATCGACTGATCATTTTACATTATTTCGTTTTCACACTTTGACAAAAAGAACAACCGTTTCCTCCACACCACTAGTATGAGCAGTGCAATTTGTAAATAGATCTCGTTTCCAGAATCTCACATTTAAATTTAGGGATGCACCGAATGTTCGGCAACCGAAATTATTCGACCGAAAATAGCAAAAAAAGCTCTTTCGGTGCGAAAATAAGCGAAAAGACCGAATAAATTGTACCGAACAATGATATGACGCGATCAAATAGCAACCAGCGCAGATAAAACAGCTCTGTTAATACATTTATTATTATATTCACACATAGCGTTCAAATTAGGATCTGGTTTTAAAAGAAGTCTCTTCTCAGCAAGACTGCTTTTAATTGTACAGTTAAAAATACATGCCTGATTCAAGAAGGGGGTCTGATGGCCAAAAAATATTATTTTACCAACTTATTAATTTTAAGTTAAATTTTGCTTTGATGGTATAATGTCTGCTAGAATGTTAAAATTGTTCAGTGTTAAATATTTGAAAATTGTTGTTTTGTAATTGATTTTTTCTTTGAAAACCAAGACAAAACAGTAAAAGGAATATTTTGGCTATTTAATTTATGCAATGGTGAAAAAAAATTGGCAAAATACATGGGGGGAACGTATTCGGTATTCGGCCCAGTGTTTCATTTTGTTCAGTTTCGGCCAAGAATTTTCATTTCAGTGCATCCCTATTTAAATTTCCACTACTGAAAGAGAGATAACAAATAAAAATGTAGTCTGCACAAACATTGTATTTATTTTATTTGTCTTGTCATGGTACAAAGATTCGTTTAATATTTTGCTGTCAACACAGTAGGAAAAAAAGTATCGCCGAGAAAATAAAAATGTAGATTGTACAAAAATTGTATTTCTTATTTTTATTTGTCTTGTCAAGATACAATTTGTTTAACATTTTGCTGTCAACACAATCGCAATCGACCACCGCTGTGGCGCGGTTGTCATGGCGACCATTACAGCCCTAGTTTAGATTAATCAATATAAAAATAGTCGCTAGTGGCAGCCCTAGTGAATTAAACGGCCTATTACACACTAAAGCTAACAATTAGTAGCTACTACTTGTACTACATCTCACCTGATAACTTGAGCAATCCGCTGTAAAATATCATCTCGGACGACTCATGGTACACACACTGCATGACATCATACCGCACTTGCTGTTTCTGCCGAAGTTCAGCGAGTTACTCCAGACCTCTCTTGTTTTCATGAAAGAATTTGAGCAATCTTTCATTGATCCAATTGTCTAAGAACAAAAAAGCTGTCTGTCTATCTGTTTGTAACTCTTTTCCTATCTTAAATGACATGTAAGTCTCAAATTGTTTTTTGTTTTTTTTCAGTTTGTAATGTATTAAACACCCCCTTTTTATTTAAATTTTTTGTTTTGCACCATGTACTACCGGCGTAAGAGATTAGAGATTTCAGTAACTTATTGTCAAGCACCCTAAACCAAATCAATTATCAAACAGAGGCTTTCAGAAGCTGTAGTGACTGGCACAAGACTGTTTATTTGCACTGTTTATGACCATGAATCTAGCAGAGATGCTTGCTTTCTTTACTAGCCCACATAGTCTCAATGTCAGTAACAACCTTTTAGGGGCTCCTGTAGACTAAAGCGTGTGTGTGTGTGTGTGTGTGTGTGTGTGTGTGTGTGTGTGTGTTTGTGCAGGTGGGGTCCAGTGGTGACCCACCCGTTCCAGGTGCAACTGTTGCAGAGACAAAAGCAGCAGGCGGCTACACAAGCGGCTGCAGTCCAGAAGGCAGCACAGCCACAGCAAACACAGGCTGCAGTGCAGCAAAAGGTGCCAGTCAGCCAGTGTGATTTATTTTTTAATGAAGCATTATTTGTATAAATGTTCCTTCAACCCCTCTCTCCTTTGTCTCTTTATCTCTCTGTTCAGCTGGGCACGCAGCAGGCCGCTCAGACCACTGCCCAACAGCAGCAGAAAGTGACATACACTGCCACCACTCAACTTCAGCCTGGCATTAAGACCCAGTTCTTCACCTCCATTGCACAGCCACAGAAACCAACCGCAACACAGCAGATACAGGTAAGAAGTTAGACTTTCACGGCCAGCACCCGCACAAGTGCAAAGCCTGACATGTGGTGTGGTCAGATTGTAAGTATTTTGATGTGCAGTGCCATGTAGTGCTTTATGTGTGTGGTTTAGTGCCCAGCTTGGCTTTTGTTGTGATTTTCCCTTCTGCTTGTAGGTCGTGAAGCATTATTTGTATAAATGTTCCTTCAACCCCTCTCCTTTGTCTCTTTATCTCTCTGTTCAGCTGGGCACACAGCCGGCCGCTCAGACCACTGCCCAACAGCAGCAGAAAGTGACATACACTGCCACCACTCAACTTCAGCCTGGCATTAAGACCCAGTTCTTCACCTCCATTGCACAGCCACAGAAACCAACCGCAACACAGCAGATACAGGTAAGAAGTTAGACTTTCACGGCCAGCACCCGCACAAGTGCAAAGCCTGACATGTGGTGTGGTCAGATTGTAAGTATTTTGATGTGCAGTGCCATGTAGTGCTTTATGTGTGTGGTTTAGTGCCCAGCTTGGCTTTTGTTGTGATTTTCCCTTCTGCTTGTAGGTCGCTAAACTCCCTCAAATAGTTCAGCAGCAGATAGTATCCTCACCTCAACAGGTAAGTGTTTCAGTGTTTGGTGTACTTTGTGTTTGATTGCTTAAATTCATTTGGTGCCTTTTTTAAAGTGAACATTAAGTCAAAAATGACCGTGTTTCCTTTCTTTGTGTTTGTTCCTGATTTTGTTCCACCTCTGAAATTACTTTCCTTTTTCACTGATTGCATTATTTTTTTTATTGAATATAATTAACATATACTGCTGTTGAAATGTTTGGGGTCAGTAAAATTTTTATAAAGACATTTATGCTTTTATTTGGCAAGAATGCATTAAACTGAACAAAAGTGACAGTCAAGACATTTATAATAAATTTAAAAAGATTTCTATATCAAATAAATTGTTCTTTTTTAATTTATATATATATATATATATAAATTGCAAGTTTTGGAAAAGTCATGGAAATCTATTTCACAAAACTCTATATAATAGAATTGTGTTTAATTAGGTCCTGAATTTCGGTGCGGGATTGCGCATAGGCTATATTTTACTCATTCCCACAGCTTTTGACTTTAAAATGATGGATATTCACACATTTATTCAATAGCCTATAGCATGTAGGTTTGATGAGTAAATAAATCCACACAGACTGATCAAATCAGTCATTTGAAAACAGCATGAGTGATTCAGCTGTACCGCGTCTTCTCTTTTTGACTTTTTCTTCAAACGGCTTCACATCGGCGCATCTTGTCTGTGCTACAAGAGCCGCTGCACGCTGCGATACAAGACTTTCGCTCACGTTTCGGGACAGTTGACAGAATTGTCACTTGCCTAATCGGGTCATTGTTGCATTGTATTATTTATTTGCACGTCTTTTTAAGCCATTCGGTACATCCAAAGCGCGTGTGCGTATATAAAGCCGCCTTGCGAGTACCAAATTGGGTTTGCTACCAAACAAGCTCAGTAGAACCCTGCACGGGCCTCAAACATATGCCCTAGTCCGGCCCTTGTCCGACAGATTATCAGAATTACCGGCCGAGTCCGACTGGAGCCCGTGTCTTTTTTCTCTTTCTCTCTTCACCATTACACAGCTGCTGTTGTAGCCATAAAAATAGTTCAGTTTTGTTTTAATGGCAAAGTGGTTATATTTATTTTCATTTCTTTATTACGTTCATTTAGAAATATGTTTGGAAAATTTTTTGTTCAAGTTTTTGTTTTTTTAAAGTAACAACCAAGCGGCCAGTGGCAGACAGTGAGTTAATCATAGCCTATGTTTGAATTTAGAAATATGTTTGGAAAATTTTTTGTTCAAGTTTTTGTTTTTTAAAGTAACAACCAAGCGGCCAGTGGCAGACAGTGAGTTAATCATAGCCTATGTTTGATCAATTTAGCCTTCTGAAATCATCACCACTTGACTAAAATAAAATGTATAGGCCTATATAAAATACTTTTAAAAAAGCATATCACAATGTTAGTTTAAATGTTTAACCTAGATAAATGTGTGCTATTAGGCGCGTATTCAATCGTTTGTGCAGAGAAGCTAAAGCGCGCTTTGCAGGACATGGAGTCCCAGTGCAATCACTTGCATTTTTTTCTTATAACAGTGGAAACAACCGTCATTTTTGCTCATAAAGGTAAGAGTAATACATCATTCGGGACTATTAAGGGTCTACTTTTATTTGTGTGCACTCACAATATCAGCATACGTTGTGCTTTTTCAGAAAACAAACGGGATGCGCTTTCTGCTGTCTCGGTCTTGAGCAGGAGCGCTTCACAAAAATGAACCGAAACTCAACAAATATTCTATTTCCCCTGGGGCATTCATCTTGGTAATTACTTGCTGGGGTTTTGCGGCAAGCTTTGCGTGCGCTTTAACGTGGAACTCTTCCAGCACTCGCTGCTGCTGGACACGCTGGTCTCGTGTTGTTTCCACCAGCGTGGCAAATCTTTTTCATCACCATAATAATTGATGGATATCTAAAATATAAAAATAAGAAGGAAGCAAGCCCAAGCAAGCCTGATGCCTGACCCGTGTCTGAGCTATGACGTGAAAATTGTCCCGAAGCCATAAATAAGTCTGGGCCCATCAGGCTCGGGCTAAAATGTAGGGCTCTATAGCGCAGCTTTTTGCTTTTAAGCAGCAAAAATACACACAAAATGACGCCAAAATGGCCATCCTGGCCACACAGTTAAATAAATGATAATATTCAGTGATGTGATATGTGAAATGTGGAGTAACGTCTGGCGCAGTTGCAGCTTGTACTTATTACTAAAACAAGAAAGCAAACAAGTAGCATTAATAGTCATGAATTTTAGTTAACATATGCTATGATAATTTGAACAGATTTTTATTCTTATTGTAAAACAGCTAGTACTTATTACTAAAACAAGAAAGCAAACAAGTAGCATTAATAGTCATGAATTTTAGTTAACATATGCTATGATAATTTGAACAGATTTTTATTCTTATTGTAAAATAATGGAACATGTAGGTTAGTGTTGTCAAAAGACCTGGTATTTCGGTACCAAGTCGGTACTAAAAAAATGAAAACGTTACGGTACCAG